TATTTATTGGGTGAATGAATTCCCACTGCCACAAGTGTAGGTTTTAACTCTATCCAATAAGTTTATAAATGCTTTAAAAGCAGAGAATGTCTAATTAAAGTTTGACCTTCCACAGCCCAGTAGGCAGTGTCTTGGACACAGTGGTAAGCCTTCCATAAATATTTATTCAATGAATCGTGAACTACTAATCTAGATGCCACTTTCTTCTAATTCACATAGCATAATACTTCTAAAATATTGCCTCCATCATCTTAATCCCCTGGTAAAAAACCTATCCACCATTACCTATTTCATCAAATTTAGCTTTATTCACTCTTCTCACTATCAAGTTTATTTTATTTTAATTAATTAATTAACTAATTTCCAGAGAAGGAAGGATTTATTAATATTACTTGCAGCAAGTAAGGAGAACACTTGCTTTCCCAAAGCAGTGTCTCCAAGTATGTAGTATTTTATAATCCTCACAACACATTCAACACTTATTCACTCTCTCCAATAATTTCTAATTGTTTCATATGTATGAGTGCCTTCAATAAAAGGGTCTATGTCTTCTGTTTTCGCTGCCTTTTTTGTTGGGCACACAACAGAAGTGCTCAATGTCAAGGGAAGAAACCATCATTCAAAATGTGAAATAAAACGTTGATTTATTACTTTCTATGTGTAGAAAAGCACTATGCTTGTTTGACTGTCCCTCTGCTGATCTTATCTTGTTTTTGTGAAAGACAGAGTTCAGGGATTGGCTGACTTTCAAAGGTGAAAGTGGGTTGACATCTGCTGTGGAAGCATGATTACTCTGCTGGAGAGACTGTTGACAATTGGCTGAATTTCAGAGATGTGCTCACTAGAGTAAAGCTGTTGCTGTTTTGGCTAACTTTAAAAAGTGGGAGGCTGTCCCTGACTGGCTCGTTTTTCAGAAGATTGTTCATAGGGTTGAACAGCCATTTATCTATTAATTGAGTTTAGAATGACTTCTGCTCATTAGTTGTTACTGCGGCTACATAATAGGCTTTTCCTAAGAATATAGGACTTTCAATATTTCTTAAAGAAATATTTATTGATTGATTAATTTTTCAGATGTAAAAGAAGAGATTGAATGGTGGTTTACCTCCACTCTAATGTTTGACCATTCAGAGGGGAGTCATGTCATTCTTTTTCTACTCCCCAAGGTATTTGCTGTTTTCATTCTAACTAAGCAGGGATGATAGTGTTGAGTAGTCATATGTAGATTTGATACGAAGTGTCCTTTTTGGGCAACCAAATGATATTGATAGGGATAGGTTAGAAGTTTCTTTCAGCTTCACAACTCATGACTGATAATGTCACGTAAAGTTTTAGGATTGTTGTCACATTTCGGAAAATTTCAAATAATTTTATTTGTATGACTTAATAGAGTTCAGGGCACATCAGTTTTCTTTAAACTGATGACATTCTAATCAGCTTGTTGTGGATAGCCTCATTAAATTCTCACAAAAAAGACTTACTTTTATTGGCTAAGCATTGATAAGCACTAAATCTTTAATTTTAAAATGTATACATCCAATAATTTGGAAGAATTTCTCACAGATTAGCTTTAGGCTCCCAAAGTTTCAACTTAGCTTCTCCACCACTATCCATATTTTTTTTGTTGTTTTTGTGGTACGTGGGCCTCTCACTGTTGTGGCCTCTCCCGTTGCGGAGCACAGGCTCCGGACGCGCAGGCTCAGCGGCCGTGGCTCATGGGCCCAGCTGCTCCGCGGCATGTGGGATCTTCCTGGACCGTGGCATGAACCCGTGTCCCTTGCATCCGCAGGCGGACTCTCAACCACTGCGCCACCAGGGAAGCCCTCTCCATATATTTTTGATGCTAGAACACAGGACACATTCAAATAGCTATATGGTGTCTGGCCCTGTACCTTTGTTTTACAGTGCTGGGTGGGTCAGTACAATGGGTGGTAGTACATTCTTGGATGCCACTCCTACACTGGGACAGCTGAAAATATCTTAACTATACCTAGGAATGACTGTGAATTACAAAAATATATCCCACTAAACTCAAGCCAAATGTATTCTAACTCAAGTTCCCTACAGTTAAATTATAAAAATGCCATCTAGCCACTCCAACACCACTAGACGAGGGGAAGTGTGATGTAGGGAAAATCAGTGAGGAAAGAATTAGAAGTCTAAAGATTGCCATTAAAATTTTTACTTTCACAAATTTTACAAAAGCATATGAACGTGTGAGCGTATTGTTAGGGCCCCTTCCAGGGTCTTGGAAAGGGCTAGTGCAAATGAAGGCCCCTGAAAATGAAGCTTTCTTAGCTTCACAGTAAATCTGCCTCAAGGTCTGGAGCCATTTTATTTACAGGGTAAAATGCAATTTTCAGAGTCTGCTCTATATAGGGCCAATGGATACGTTGATTATAGCTCCACTTGAGACCAAGATTTAAAGAAGAGATCTTTGCCTCGTTTGTGTCAAGGGCTCCCTGCTATTTGTTTAGACTAGTGGTTCTCAAACCCTTTGGTCTCATAACCATTTCACACTCCTAAAAAGCATTGAGGACTCCAAAAAGCTTTTACGTGGATAATACCTAGCAAAATTTACTGTATTAGGAGTTAAAACAAACATGTAAAATATTTATTTATTCATTTAAAAACAATAATAAATCTGTTACATGTTAAATAACATAGTTTTTAATGAAAAATAACTATTTTCCAGAGCAAAAATAATTTAGTGAGAAGAGTGGCATTATTTTACATTTCTGCAAATCTCTTTAATATCTGGCCTAATAGAAGATTCTCATTCTTATGCATGCAATATCTTTAGAGTGAAAAAGGCAAATAAATTTTTAGTATGAAATAATTTTGCCCTGTGAACCCCCTGACCACACTCTGAGAACTGCTGATTAGCGGTTCACTATATTTATCACTGTATTTAATTTCTGGTTGCCTACTCTTCCGCAAGTACCCTCTCTATGACTATTTCCGTATCTGTATAATCAACTCCACCTCCTAGATAAGAGTTAAATTTTAATTATTGCTGTGCTTTTTAGCATTCATGGAAAACTTTAGAAACAATTTTTTTTCACACACACACACTGTATTTTATTTTTACAAGAGATAAATAAACTGACACCAAGCATTGTAAATGGATGACAACAACAAAAGCAACAATGACTGCAATTACCAAACACGAAAGACACTCACACTATGTCATAATATTGACATTCAGTCCAGTAATCCTCCACTGTAACAGCTCCTTTACTTTGCAGTGAAAATTGATTTGTATATTTTTTGCCTCTGAGTCCTTGTGGGATTTTTTTTTTTTTATTATTCAAACAGAAAGTCACAAAAATTATAATCATCCTCATCAGTTCACTCAGTCCCATGTAATTAATTTTTTTATATTGATCTTTTGTTAGCACTTTTATGAATGCATCAGTTTTCCATTAGAGTTCTGAAAATGCTTATTCATTCAGTTCAGCAGGATAGTCAGTTACCAGAAACCTGTGCTTGTCAGAGTCTTTTCCATGAATTCCTTGAAGATGAAACGCTTTTATAGGAACATTTTTGCAAAAGCATCAGAGTACACCCAGAACTGTCTGTAAATGACAAAAGACTTAAAAATGACCACGGTTAAAGATTCGATGAAAGTTCATAATAATGCAATTGACAAGGAAATTTAGTTACTTCTGAGATATACATTTTAAAGTAATAACTAGAATTATGACTTATAACATTTTAATGACTGACAAGTCTTAGAGAAGTCTTTCTTCCCCTTCACTGACAAGGGAAAAAATATCTCCTACATTGTCTGCTCCCTGATAGTAAGGTTTTCTTCTTTCAGGATTATAATGACTAAGGCAAATATTAGACTAAACACAACACTGGGTTCCTTATATGCTACAACACCATCTAATGCTTACCAAGCCCTTTCTGTGTGCTAGGCATGGGCTAAGCGCTTTACATACATTATCTCATTTAATTCTCACAACAATGAGGTAGGTACTGTGAGGCACCTACCGTCATTTTCATTTTGCAGATGAGGAAACTGACATACGGAGAGGTTAATGCCCAAAGTTTTACGGGACTGAGCCGTAAATTGAACCCAGAAAATCTCTGGAGTGCGCAGTCTATTATCTACTGTTAAAATATAAAAATGGGCGATAGAGCAAGATTCACATAAAAAGAGTGTAGGTGAGAGAGGGAGGTTAGTAAAGCAAAAAGCCTCAGGGCCAAGACAGCTGAGATATCAATACAGGATGTAGTGTTATTTTCCACCCGATCCTTCTTTTCTGCTTTATTTCCTACGCTTCCATGTTCCTCTTCTCAAATTTAAGCTATTTCCTTGCTGGTGGTTTCGTCGTTCAGGCCTGACTGGGGCTGATCCCGAAATTCAGGCGCTAAACAACCTGTTGAAAGAAGCGGGGCAAATCCGAGGTAACCACGGTGACGGCGGCTTGGCGAGAACCCCGCGCAGGCGCGTTACATCCCAGGCGCGACCGCCGGCCCCTCCTCTGGGCCTCAGACTCCACCAGCTGCTGGGGAGTCCTGGGCGTGGGGCGTGGGCCGCGGGTAGGGGCGGAGAGGGCCCGGGCTGGGCGCCTGCGCAGACGCCGGGACGCTGGTGTGATCGAGCTCACGTAGCGAGGGTTGCAGACGCCTCCTCCTCAGCGCAGCCGTCGCAGCCTGGAGGTTATAAAAGGGCTAACTGGCTCCCTCTGCTGCCCAGTCGCGCCGCCAGCGGGCTGAGGGAAAGGATTAGGTAGCCGGCCGAGCGCAGGCGACCGGGGACTGAAGAACGCGCAGCCCTCCCGTGCCACTTCCCAGGTGAGACGCTCCTCCGACCTTGGGGACTGAGGCTTAAATCCTTGGGCAGCCGTGGTCCTTCTCGGGTGGCTCTGGTGGTCTGGTCCCTGCCCCCTCTCGTGGTATGGCTCGGGGGCAGGGGGAGGCTCCCCCAGTTTACTACTACTGGCTCAGTACCGTCTCCCCTGGAGACTCGGCCCCTCGCCCTGCGCCCCGCGTCTCCTGGGTGCCCCAGAGGCCCTTCTGCCCTCCTCCGTGCTCCTCTTCCCACCGCCTCCCAGGTTGGCGCCCCCGACTGTTGGGGCTGCGGCAGCATCAGTCTCCGCCCCGGGGACCAGCACTTTCTTGAATATTCCTTCCTGAGGAGGAATCACCCTGTTGAGTTTTCCGAGCTCCTCTCCTACCTGGTCCTGCCTAAAAAGCTAAGGAGTACGCGAGGGTTTTCGGCCTCCACAGCAGCAGATGGTTAGCGTGTGGCAATGGAGAGCGGTTTTTAAAGCTTATAGCTGACGGGGAAGCGTTCGGGCATTTTTATCCTGCCGAAGAGTCGTGGGGTCTGGGAAGAGGACCTACCCGCGGAAGTTCAGGCTTTACTCATCTGTTGCGCGCAGCGGTGCTGCCGGAGCAGCTGGAGGTAGCCCCGGGCGGCGAGTTTCGGGCGGCTGGGTTGAGGAAGTCGGCTGTCAGATCCTCCAGTCAACTGGGAAGCTAGTCTTCTTCCTTCCTTCTTCTGCCACATAAATTTTTTAAAGGCACATGAGCTTCTCCCCTCCCCCTCTCTTTCTCTCCGCCAAGTTTGCTGCTTTTAAAAGTCCACATCAGTAAATGGAATTCTTTGGCTGTGTGAGAACTTTGAATTACGTGGATGGACCCCAGCTGTATGTTTTAAGGGGGAGGAAGAATGGTTCCATAAGTATGGGACCATTTCTCCTAAATAATCGATTGTATTAAATACAGTCAGTTTTTAGACACTAACAATTTAGGCGTTCTGGGTAGAGTGGTGAAGACTTGGAATTTTGCACTGTTTGCTTTAAGAAAGGGATGAAGAAGAAACTAGATCTCCTTTTAGGAATTGATCGAAAAGGCCAAAGCGGTTTGCCAATTTCGACTTAACTGTTTCTGGTTTCTCTGAGAGCTATGGACTTTCCCTTGGAATGCACTCTGAAGGGATGAAATAGCCACTACTGAGTGGGGGAAGGGAAAAGACGTGGCAGCAGTGTTCTTTCATCAACTTTTGCCTTTTTTTTTTTTATAGGTTCGGGGAAGAAACGTATTTCCCTTTTTAGATTTAGATGTAGCTTATGAATGAGGCTAGTCTTTTCCTAATCTGATGAAATATTCAGTCCTCATAGCAGGAACACTGGAATTTAATTTATAAAACATTTAGAAGGGATTTTTCTGATCAAGTGTCTATGGAAAAAATGGATACGTTAAGGAGGAAATATTTAAGAAGCTGAAAGTGAACAACCGTGAATAAGGTTTTTTGCCTTGATTTAAAATTTAGACATTCAGCGATTTTTCTTTAACTTTGACTTTTAGCCTGTGAATATGATTTCTAAATCTTAACGATGAACTTCAAATTTTACCTTTTCTTTCTGTGGGAAGCATAGGTTTCATCATTTACCTTTGAAAGTCATGTCAGTTTTGGTTTTGGTACATTATGCTTTAAGTCCTGCCAATATTTTAGATGGCCGATGGCAAATGACTCTTTTATTTTTTAATCTATTTTATTTTATTTATTTTTGGCTGCCTTGGGTCTTCGTTGCTGTGCGCGGGCTTTTCTCTAGTTGCGGCGAGCGGGGGCTGCTCTTCGTTGCGGTGCGTGGGCTTCTCATTGCGGTGGCTTCACTTGCTGTGGAGCACGGGCTCTAGGCGCGCGGGTTTCATTAGTTGTGGCTCACGGGCTTTGTTGCTCCGCGGCATGTGGGATCTTTCCAGACCAGGGCTCAAACCCGTTTCTTCTGCAGTGGCAGGCAGATTCTTAACCACTGCGCCACCAGGGAAGCCCACAAATGATTCTTATAGATTTAACATAGTTACTAGGAAAAGTTACTAGGAAAAGGACTACTCTGTGTCTTTAGGTGAATAATGCTTTGATATCTTAAAATGAGTTTTATTTTGAAGTACTGAAAATCAAGGATTTTGGTAAACGGATAATTTTATTGGCCATTTTGTATTTTGGTAACTAAAGTAGTAACAAAAGAAGATGAAAAAATGTGTACAACTTTAATTTATTGCAGAAAAATTTAGACAGTGTAAAAGACTATTGAAAAAAGAAAGCTTTGTATTACCAGGGTAGTCCAGGTTGTTGCAGGGGAATCTTGGCTTTTTGGTAAGGAGATGTTAACCTTTTCTAATAGTGCTGAGTGGGTTGTATACTGACAAGCAGTATCTTTCATAGGGCAAATATGTTCAAGCTCCTGCTTTTATTCCAGGGATGCAGCCATAAAGCTTGTGAGCCTTCACTTCTGTGGAAGGAATGCCTTATTTTACTTAGCAGTTATTAACTGGGAGGGATGTAATTACATCTCTTAGATTTGAAAAGTGTCCCTATGAGATACATAGTAGTAGTTCTCAACCTATTTTGAGGACATGAAATCCATTGAGAATCTGATAGAAGGTGTGGACCCTGGGTCTGAAAATACAAGTATACACATCTGTGTGGAATTTTAATTACCATTTTTCAGATACTCTCTCCCTCCACAAGTGCATCTATAAACTGCAAAACCCTAACCCTACAAGAACCAAAAAGTAAAAGGTGTGGAGTAAGGACATCTAGGTATCTTGAGGCAGGGTTTCTTGAATATTTTTGAAAATTGAGCTGGGCTTGTAAGTCTGACTGGACTTGACTATATAGATGACCTTAATAAACTTGCTAAAAGGGTTTTAACAAAAGTAAGTTGGTTGGAGAATTGTTGAATTGCTAAATTGCCTAGGCAATGGTACATCATACTGGCCTCACCCCAACCCCTTATATGTTGTAACATACCTTTGGCTGTACTCTGAAAGTGGAAAATACTTTAAGGTAAAGAAAAAGTAAATTGAACAGGCCCTTGGCATTACACTTTATTGCTCTTCTGACAGTGAGATCTTGAATCTTATAATTACATAATGGGTGTGTGTGTGTGTGTGTATAAAATGAATGTGTAAGAGACAAGCCAAATAAAGTGTGTATGTGTATTTGTGAAAGCTTCATTAGTTAAAGTTTCATTTGTGTTTCTACTCAGTGAAATTTATTTGTATAAATTAAAGGTATCCTCTCATTAATTTTCTTCTAGCCAAATATTGTGCCTCAATAAAAACTAATGACGCTCAAAGGACTTCATTAAGGTTACTCCAGCAGTTTTGAACTTGATATAATGAAAAACATTCCTTTTCCTGATGTTGCTTTGGATGGTCAGTATGACTATTAGTATATTTGGTTGTGTATTGGCAAAAAATACAGTATAGAGATTCATGCTTCTTACATAGTTGTCATCAGTGAATGAGCACTATCTTGGACTTCTTCCACTTCCTGCTTAGTGTTTTATATAAATATGTCCATGTTTTGGTTTACATATTTTTCACTTAAATAGTGATATTATAATATATCAAAGTAATATACTCAGCCTTTCTTGTTGGGCATTTGAGCTATTTCTTCATTATAAGTAGTGTGAAGAAAAGGCTGTAATTTAGTGCTTTATTTTATCTACCTGTTTAGCTACAGTAAACTTTGGGATTGGGCTCTGAGAAGGTTTTTTAATCAACCTGATAAAAACTAAAGCACTTTACAATTTATAAAATGTTGTTTCATAATATTATATAATTTAATCTTTAAAATAATTCTGTGAGGTGATTTTATATCATCCCCATTTTACAAATAAAGAAACGGAGATTCCAAGTCAAGTAATTTGCCCAAGAATTAGTAGTCAAAATTAGTAGTCAACAGTGAACATTGAGATGAAGCATCAAATGGAAGAATCTTCTGTTATGTCTATAGCAGTGAAGAAATGGATTCTATAAGTGTGTTGTAAAAATTTTGGGAGAAGATGCTTTTGTAAAGTTTCTGGGGAGTAAGTAATAGAAATGGAAACTTGTGAAGTATTAATCACTAATTTTCAGATGTCTATTTTAAGCTATTTTCTGTTTTTCTGAGTCTATATTTTTTAAGGTTTTTCACCTCAGTACCTCTCACTGTTGCCCTTATAATTTCTCAAGCTTTTCAACCATGAACTGTTTTCTGAAAAATTTTAAGAATTTGTGTTACAAAGGGAAATTTGTGTACAAAGTATGTTTAGTTTTAGAGAATGAGAGAAAAAGGTGTTTTCCTTGATTCAATGTGGTGATCATTAAGTATTAGCATCTGTTACTATGTTCTGAACATTGCGCTGGAAGAATCATGATAACATGTTTGAATTAACATACAGAATAGAGGACAGCTACATAGATTTATATGCTTAATTGTTTTATTTGAGAGTGTTTAGTAAATATTGATTAACTGGTTTTATGTAGGCTCAAGACTTCTCTTACACTCTAATCTTATATTAACTGGATTTTCAGGTCTGATTCTTTCAAACAATGATCAATAAATAATTATTTTAGTGCTTCTTAAACCTAGTTGTTGAATTTAGGTCCTCAAAGCATTACTTGCTGTATACATATGGCCTTTGTTCTTGCCCTCTTGTTCCAACAACCTCCCCCCTTTTTTTAAACACAGACAAGATTTTATTCATATTCAAAAGTTGCTTGAAGACGTTCTCAAATTTGCATACTCTCAAATTTACCAGTCTTTAAACCTCAAAGGTATTTTGAGAATAGATCTCAATTTACTGTTTGAATAAAAACATCTTAAATAATTTGTGAACAGTATATTTGTGAACAGTATCATAGCTACCAAGTGATAATGTTTTATAGGTAAATAAAGACACTAACATATGACATAATAAGGGTGATTACTAATAAAGTAATTGGTATACTGTAACAACTTTATCGAGGTATAATTGATATACAGTAAACTGCACACATTTACAGTGTGCACTTGGTAAGTTTTGACAAAAGTATATACCCATGAGATTGTCAACACTGTCAAGATAAGGAACATTTTCAACACCTTCAAGAGTTTCCTCATGACTCTTTGTAATCCCTCCCTCCTGCTCCTTCCTGCCCTTTCCTCATCCCCAGGTAACCATTGATCTTTTTATGACACTTAAGATTTGTTTGTATTTTTGAGAGTTTTCTGTAAGTGGACTCATATAGTATGTACTTTTTGCAGGGGGGAGGAGGGTGTCCGGCTTCTTAAACTCAGCATAATTATTTTGGAATTCATCCACGTTGTTATGTGTTTGTTCCTTTTTATTGTTGAGTAGTAGTATATTGTATGGATATACCACAAAACTTTTTTTTTTCCCATGTACTAATTGATGGACATTTGGGTTGTTTCCAGCTTTTAATTATCATAAACAAAGTTGTGATGAGCATTCGCAATTCACATACAAGTCTTCGGAGGAATATATACTTTCTTTTCTCTTGCATAAATATCTAGTAATGGAATAGTAACATATGTTATAGGGAAATATTTCTTCCCAGATTGTGGCTTGTCTTCATTGTTTTAACAGTGTGTTTCAAAGAGCACGAACTGTCTCTAATCATGGACAG